AAATAAATCTTTAAAAAAAAAAAACAAAACAGCAACCATGTTCTATCTATCTCCATCACTTGAATTTTAAGGATCATCAACACCAAGGTCCAATAACTGAAACACAAAGTAACTCCTTTTGCTGTATGTAACTTTTGTAAATAGGTCTTATTAGGAAAACTATAGCATGCCTTCAAGTAAAAAAATCCTAAAACAACAAACTTACCTCCATTCCTAAAAAAAAAAAAAACTTTAAACACAAAAATAAGACCTCAATGAAGATAAATATCCAAAAATCTTCGTTAATAAGAGGAGATAATAATAGCTAAGATTGTAACATTTTGGCTTAAAAGTGTAACTCGACAGAAAAGAAGGACAAAGGGAATCTTCTGGTGGGTATTGCCAAGGAAAGCTAACTCTAACTCTTTTCTCCATGAGAGAATTGTTCTTGGCAGGAATACTGTGAGAACTAGTATGGAAACATGTGCAAAATATTCTGAGATCTTTGAAAAATGTGAAGCTCTTTCTAGCAATCAGAAGGTGTGATACACTTTAGCTCTCACATTCCAACCCAAATCAACTGGGCCCTGGCAGCATTTCTACTCTGCTGATTGTAGACATCCTAGAGCTCAACAAAGGCTTCACTTAATTTTTCTGTTTAAATACCAAAATGATCAAGGTCCCCATCTAAAGGTTACACTAGGTCTAACTGTGCTAAGTATGGTTAAGAGCCAGCATCTAAAGAAAGGCCTTTTCCCACCTAGCTAACAAATGCAAACATTTTCATTTGCCACGGTTACATTTTACAATCTGTTGCTTAATCTTAGATTCACCATTATCACAAAGCATTTTCTTAAGAGTCCCCTCTCTCATTTTGATGGTTGTCAACCAACCACTCTACATTGTTGTCCATCTCTCTAAATGGCAAGACATGATACTAACTACTGATCAAAGTCACAAAAAACAAAAGTAGATGTTTAATCAATCATTTTAGGCCTACAGACAAGTCTTCACTTATTTAAAAAAAAAAAAACACATAATGAGTCTAATGCTAGTCTAAGGATCTCATTTACTTCTTTACTAAGGTGGGTACTAATCTTTTTTTTTTTTTTAAGATTTATTTTTATTTATTTGTGCATATAGAACTGGGGTACAGGCCAGAGGCTCAGGGGCAGTGAGAGGCTTCACCAGAGATAGAGTGGGGAACAGACAGGCAGATAGACGAAGTACACTGCTGAGGGGAGCAGTGGGTGGGTCAGGAAAGGTCTGCTGTGCCATGTGGATCACCTCTGGGGCAGGGATGGAACTTATGCGGAAGTGGCTTTAGCTTCTTAGTGCTGTGCTTTTTAACCCGCTGTGCTACCAGGGAGGGCCCTGTACAGATACTTTTAGTGTGTGTGTGTGTGTGTGTATTGTTTTAAAATGAATATATCTACATCTATACTTATCTGTCTAATTAAATGAATCTACAAAAATGAAATTTTGAAAGGCTGCTATGAAGAGCTTTTACTATTTTCTCCCCAACAACTGTACCACATTTTACCAACTGTACACATTGTGTATCTTTCCTTCAGAGACTGCTAAAATAAAAATCACTTTGTTCTAGCCTAAGTATCTTTTCTGTTTTTTGAAGCATACACCATTACTAATGTGAAAACTGCTTCGGACCCAAATATGTATGACTAGATTGGCTAGAAGGGGTTGGGGTAAGCTCTAATTCACAGGGTCTCATGCTACAACTCATAAAAAACAATACCACTGTAGGTGAATATTTACTTATTATTGGCCCTCCCTGGTAGTACAATAAGCTAGGATGCAGCACTGCAAGTTAGCTGTAGCACTTCACAGTGGTGAGTTTATCCCCAGCCCAGGTGGTGATCCACATGGCACAGCAGACCTCTCTTGACCCGCCTGCTGCTCCTTTCAGCAGTGTACTTCATTGATCTGCCTATTCTGCTTCCCACACTGTCTCTGGTGAAGTCTCTCACTGCCCCCCACACCTCTGGCCTGTACCCCAGTTCCGTAGCATAAATAAATCTTTTTAAAAACATTTGCTTATTATCTATACCTGAAGTCCTATGCTCTTGGAGAGCTGTGGTTACTGTGCCCCGAGTAGTGAAAATACTACAGAGCATGTAGCAAAGGCACAAATCTTTTTTTTTTTAAGATTTATTTGTTTATACTTACAGAACTGGGGTACAGGCCAGAGATGTGGTGGGTGAGATTCATCAGAGACAGAATGGGGAGCAGAACAGGCATATCTACTGAAATACACTGCTGAGGAGAGCAGTGGGTGGGTCAGAAGAGGTCTGCCACACCATGTGGGTCAGCTCCCTGGCCAGGGATCGAACTCGTGCTGCAATGAATGCAGATAGCTTCACAGTTAACCCATTGTACCACCAGGAAGAGTCCACAAAGTCTGTTTTTAAAGAACGCAGACATAGAGAATACCAGAAGACAACAGCAATGTAACAATAGTAACTGGAGATGATTCATTAAAAAAAAATGCTCAGAATCTCAACCACTGGCAACCTGATGCCTCTAGGACAGAGAGAAAGATGGAAACAAAAATAGCCAACCTATAGTTCTCAAAGCAAATTACTTAATTTACCCCTTGAAATCAGGAAGCTCTCTCCTCTGGAGTCAGGGCCATTATTTAAGGCTTAAGAAGTACAGTTAACTTGGGGAGCCTGGAGGGGTACACACAAGCTTCTTGAAAAGTACAACATGCTCGATTTGATGGCCTTTAATGTCCATGCTACGAAATCTCAACAATACTTCAGCCTTTTTAAGAGATGTTCTGTATATCACATTAATTTCATTTTAAGCCATAATACTCAATCTTTTTCAAGTTAAGGGGCATATATTCACTTAAAAGTAGATCTGGAAATGTGACTTAGAACTCAATGTATGGTCTATCATGTAACTTATAAAGTGTTAAAAAGATTACCCTCTATTTGTATTATAAAAACTGACATGCAACAAAGAATGCAATCAATATAAAATCAATTAGTGAAACTAGGAATGGCAATGTATTTTGAGTCTTCTGATTTATTCTTCTTTGCAACTAAAACACCTATTGCTGTGTTCTCAACAACTAATGGGAAGTCACTGTACATAGTTTTCAATAAGATTTTAATAGCAGCTGCCACTTTGGAAGATCTATAATATGAACTTTATATATGTTACTTCTTTTTCTTTCATCAACCCTATGAGATAGAATTATTACCCTATTTACAGATGATGAAAATTTTTAAGATATTAAATTATTTACTTTTTATTTACATTCTGTAAATGACTAGGCTAGAATCTGAAACTTTATCTGCTTCTAGAACTCACACTTGAAAAATTACTTCACTACATTTTCCATTTCCAAGTCTGTGTTTCTCTTTCTCCAGATTCTATGTAATGCTATCATTATCTGGTAGGAGCAGAAATAATTATTATAAAACATGATAAGCAATAATATGATACAGTGGAAAACAACATGAGCTTTAGCATCTGAAAGATCTGTGTTCAAGTTCTGGCACTATTAACCTATTTACATTATTACTCCAGGAAAAATAAGTTAACTTTCTGAGTGCTCATTCTTCTCATCTATATAAAAGGTAAAAATAACTACCTTGCAGAACTGTGCTAAAGATGAAGTGAGTATATGTACAAAGCATACTGAATGGCATCTGGTAATGTGGTAAGGCTGCAATAAATAAATACACAAGATAGTACATGACAGACTGGAGGAAGCATACCAGCCTGAAGATGAGAAGCATTAAAATGTGATATTCAAGAAGGGTTTCAACTAGCTCAATGTCTAAGCTGAGCACATTAGTCTCTTTTCCAAATCTCTCAGGATGACCCAATATACCTGAGACTCACTCCTGGATATAACATGTTGGTAGTACTAGTATTTTTCTTTGTTCTAAGGGTTAAAACTAAAAGGAAAGAAAGACTACTACAGTGCACTATGTGCATGAAGCATTAGCTCTAACACTCTGAATGTTTCCAAGTTTCTGGCTAGAGTAGATAGGAAGCTGGCTCTCTGACTCATTAACCTCACTGGTTAACGAGGATAGTATGCCTCACTCCAGGGCACAGTTCTTTTCTACCTCAACCAGGAACTATCAGTGGAGCTTGGGTGGGGCACAGGAAGGATGAGCGCATGCTGGACTCACCCAGTCTGGCCCCCAAACTGGTCATTTGGATCTGAAGACTAAAATTAAGTTTCTCAGAAATCAGTGACTACATGAATTACACAAGTTATTTCTGTTGGGGAGTTAAAAAGGAGTTTTTAAGTTATGAATGATACTTTGACTGTGACCTTTAGGAAATAAAATTATTACTATGATTCTTCCAAATGTAATCCCTAAGATATTTTAAATAGTAGGTAGCATTATTAAAAAGCGAATGTTGTCTAAAATAAGTCAAGCTATAGGTTAAGGAAGCAAGGGACATTATGATTTCTCTTGAACAGAGCTGTAAGAATCATAACTTCATGTTTAATAAAAATGTCACAATGAACAAAGATGTTTATAGGACTCCATGAATTTGAAAAGAATGATTTTTTTAAGACAGATGAGAAAGTTTTCTGAAACTATTAGAAGACTGTAATAATCAAGTTAAAACAATGATTGTCTGTGCTACAATTTCTTCCACTCTCTGGCCTCCATTGTTTAATAGTGATTTTTTTATATAAGTCCAAGAAAGATCAAATAATCACAAGCTAGAAAGTGGGAAAAGACCTTTATTTTCTATTTTCATATTCTTCAGACTAGAACATAGGTAAAACTTCATGTACACCCTCTTGGTTATAACTGCCAGCATTAAACTCAGTCAATCTGACCTAAAGTATTCTGACCTCTGCTCATACTCCATTCACAACAATAAGCACACATCACATCAGTTTACAATTGATGGGAAGGAATTAGAGAATACCCTGAGCAAGAACACTACATTAGAATCAGTAGCTAATTTTTGTGAAGAATTCAGGTAAGAATGAATCCAGATAAGAATGATGTACGTACCTGTACCACAGGATCTTTTGGTTGGTGTGATTAACGAGACATGAGCTGTATCTGTGCATGGCCCACCTAGAAACAGAAAGGTAGGCACATCAATCAGGACATATCCTCTACATGTCCACAGCCATTATTTTGGGTAAAGAGAAACCTAAAGAGGAAATCAACCTGCAAATATGCATAAGGGATGGTAGCAGGAAAGATGGTAGTGGTGGTGGTAAACTAATTCTAAGCATGTAATTTCATTCAGCAATTTAGTCTGCAGATCACATTGTTACATGCTTTTCATAAAAAATAACTGGGTCTCACAAATGTTAAGGAGTCAAAAGAATAAAATTTTAACTGGAATTCCAATCCCCACAAGTTTGGGGAGATGAGTTTTCCACAAACCAATAAGCAGGATCATTCTCTTACATTGAGCGTAGTTGTAGCTACCTTTGGATTTACTGCAAAACTAGCTTTTCATAAAAAGGGGAACTCCCTAAAGAACAACAAACTGCTTGTTCAGAAGAAATAAAGATCATTTTAATATATAAAGAAAGCATTGCTGACTGGAGAAAATATTTAATCTAATTATAAAGAGATGGTGTGAAAGAGGACCTCCATGGAATCTTTGTGAACCCAGAGATCTGATGCATAAGTGCTATTCAAGAGTATGGATGAGATACCGTCAATCAATGGATGATGACTTGAAAAACAGTAATTTCATTCTGCAGAACCAGGAGACCATTAACCAATACTTAAGTAGATATTGATAAATATACTCCCCAACACTTTGTACTGACCATGCCCAACCTTCTGAAATAGAAAGTTACTTCATATACATGAAGATTAATGATTTTCAAAAGGTCCTGGTAGAAGAAAGGTGATGACCATAAAAAGACACAGAACACACAGGCAGATGACACACATGTATTTTAAAAAGGTTCCCTAGGTGACTATGACTTAAAGTGGGAAAATTGGTTACTCAGCATAGGTGCGTGTCATCTATGAAAAGAAATCACATCATCAAAATTATTCATAGAAAAGAAAGGAAAGATGAAAGAGCTCCAGGAAGTGTTCCTAGAATTTGTCACCCAGAGCCATGGGTTTAGTTAGAGCCTGGACTTGGAGAGCCCACCTAAGGATTTCATAGCTACTTCACTATTCCCTATATCAAAGTCACATGGTAGCAAATTTTACTTGGTTTAAGAAGACACAAGAAGGGATAAAGGAGGAAAGAACAAGTTAGTGCATTATGAATGTGAGATCACTTAAAAATACCTACTACGTGCTACCATGTGTTAGAGTTTAAGTATCAAGATCGAAAATGATCAACTGCCAAAGATTATGGAACAAATAATAAATACCAAACATAATTAGGAAGAAAGATGTTCATTACTGGCCTGAATCTCCTGGAAAATATATTAAGGCATTTGAAAATTAGAGAAGAACAAAGTTTAGAAAGTAAGAAAGAGTAAGACAACTCAACTGAAAAATTTCCTAGAAATGTCACAGTCTTCAGAAAAAGTTTATCATACCAAAATCCAGAAGTACAAATGGGTTATAACTATAACATGAAAAAAGATAATGTGGACAGAGCCACAGGAAAACCGTATACATACATCTAAGAGACCCTTCTGGCTTCCGCAACTCCATAAAACACTGTAGTTTTTGCTTCTGTGTAAGGGGTTTTTGCTGTTATTATTTTTGATAGAAGCATTCTTAATTTTAGGGAAACACAGGCTTTCAGGAAAAACTCAATTTAAATCCTTCAAGTATTCCTTACTGAGTAATCCTGGATAACTGATTCTCAGTTTCTTTAACAAAAGTTGCCCACAAGTTACAATGATGATGAAATTATCTAGACAAAAAGACTTCATAAACTATTAAGCTTTATATTTCTCTTCCATAAGATTTTATCCTCCCAAAGGTCAACAACCACTTCATCTACTGTTGGGTCATGACTATGTGTAAAGCATGCTTAGTAGTGGACATTAAGGGACCATCACAAACTATCTGATTTAACCAGGAGTAATGTATGTTTTTACAAAACATCTTTTTTTATTGAGATATAGAGATAAATGAGCACAAATATTAAATATATATTCTGAGGATTTTAATATATGTATTTCTCTAAGAACAAACAGAGAAAAAATATTATAGCATTTCCAGAATCAAAAAGTTTAGGGTTGCCTTAAAAAAAAAAAAAGAGTCCCAGATGCTAACTGTGTAAATTTTGGTCTAATAGATGGGGTAGGCATAGAAAGAGGTGAGTACACATTTTAAATTTAGCTGAGCACAATGTAAACAGTAACAGCCTAGTTACTTCCTATTCCTGATAACATTTTAACTCTCAATATCTGGCCAAGATCATAAGTTCCCACAACATCATGAGCAGAACACAGCAAAAAAAAAAAGTCAATAACAGCTTACCTACCAGAACACTTTTTAAAAAGAACATAAAGTAATTCACCCAGTAAAATTATAAGAGAAGAGAGCAATCAACTTCTCTAAATCTGACTAGGACTCATGAATTAATATTCCTGTGTTTACAAATGGAACTTTGCTTCATTTGTAGGTCAAGAGTTTATCCTTTTAAAAAATCCTAGTAAACTAATTTCTGTAGGTTTTGGCAAATACCCAAATAACTTTAAGACTGCCTAGCATATCTCAACATGCATCATCATGAAAGTGTTCTCCAGAGAGCTTGTTAAATGAACAACCCAATCCAATGTATTCACTGCATTACAGTAAAGCACAAATAGCACATAGTTGAACCAAAACAAATTGACAGAAAGAGTAACTGGTAGTGATAATATATCCCAGCTTTGACAATTGGAGAAATATTGTAAATAGAGAGCTTGGAATTAGGTTTGTTTCAGCTGACTATAACCTATGAAACACTTTAAAAACCAAAACAGACATATAGGAGTACTGCATGTATCTTCTACACTAATTGTACTGCCATACAAAACTTCTATATTCTTACATAAATGGGAGTAGCCACAGATATCACAGTAGCTACCATTACACAATTAATTCTCCATCAACCATGCAAAATGAATACAGGAAATAAAATGCCACTCAAGGGTACTTCTTTTGATTTTTCTTCACAAACATAAAAATATAACATGAATCCCATGGAGTAAGTTTGAGAATTGGTGATAAGGGTGAAGCTTTATCAAGGAAGGGAGCTATTTTTTTCCTATACTTGCTTTCTAATGCCTAAGAAAGGGATTGGCATATGACCCCATAAAACATTGTAAACTGTTCCCAGTTTCAGCATGTCTTGCTCTCTCTGCCAAGCACAAGAGTAGACAGAGCTAAAAGGTTGAGAGTCTCTTCATTACTAGATTCTGTAGGTGGATGGAGAGAGTGAGAGAAAGAGATCATCTAGTGAGAACAACATTGAGAAAACAAATGTATTTGTAAGTACAGAACAATCCACACTATTATATTGTAGCCTATATTAGTAACAACTGAATTTGGAAGAATTAGTTAGGGGGTTTTAAATAGAAGAAATTCAGCAGTTAAAAGAACCTTGCTTGAGATGACAGGCTTTGGGATTCTGAACCAAATAACACTAAGGTTAACCAACCTAAACTTTTAATAATCTTGAGTGCCATTAGTTTTTTGCTTTTGCTAAAGTAAACATCTAAATTTTTAATTTCTTTATTAGCCATAGATATTTAATAACAGACTTATTTTAGATTTAATATAACAGACTTATTTTAGATTTGATATAACACTCAGAGGACTACTTTTCTGAAAATATATCAAATTCAACAATTCAGGATCTGGAATTTGCAACTATGTAATGTTTCTATTCTAGAGATGTTTCTATTCTAGAGATGTTTCTATTCTTGTATTAAAGGTGTCATACATAATGTAGCACTATGGATTATATTTGGAATTCCACATGAGCCAGAAAATGAAATTTTTCAGATGTATCCCAACAATTAAGAAATCTTTATAGCATTTACAATAGGGCAGTGGATTTCTTGAGGAACTGTACTGAATTTTAGTCCAGTGAGGTTAAAGACAGGGGTAAAATCTGCACGCTAAAGTTCATGTAAAACCAGAAGGACTAAGGAGTGATGACTTGTGTCCTATCAGCTATCAATACTCACATTCAATTGAGCTAAAAATTTTCTTTACAATTTCTAGTAGAGCTACTGAGTTTGGCAAAAACAATCAAAACCTTGACTAACCATGCAGTAGTCAATTGCATAGACAATGATAAAGAAGTAGAGACACAGGTTTGGAGAACAGCATAATTTAAGCTGGCAATCATCACAGGAACTCAATAATAATAATAATAATAATAATAATAATAATAATAATAATAATAATAATAATAATAATAATGATGATATGATGATGATAATATATTTCTCCTTAACTTTGAAAATCTAGATCAACAGTCTATACTGAAATATTCAGTTAAAACCAGCTGTGATGACTGGTTATTTTTAGCATCTGGTTCCACTATTTTTCATTGGCTGCAGTTAGTTACACCATGTGCTAAAAACACATCAATTAGGAACAATGGACTGTCAAGCAGTCACTCAGCTAAAAATTACCTGAAGCTCAATAATCAAACAAGTATTCTGCTATGGGCCCTTTCGTGGTAACTGCAAGCTATTAATGCACAAAAATAGCCATTTCTTTTGCAGATTTATAACACTTCAATATTCTTGCTTAATTAACATGACATTTACATAACAGTATCTAATTAATTTCCAACTAAAGGCACTGTGGGCTAATTAGAAATGCATCATACTTTCTTAACCACCTTGCCCATTGTACTCTATCATAATCTCCACATTATTTACCTTAACAGCATCTTACTTTTCCAGACTCAATAGGGTACTGGATTTCTTGAGGAAACAGTACTGAATTTCACTGGTTGAATGGTGATTTTAGACAAGATTCAAGAACAGCAATTCCCTCCTCTTACTTCCCTGGAATACTTAATATTTTATTGAGATTTTTGATAAGGCTTCTAAAAAAGTAAATCTATGCAATGGGAAAAATGAAATAAACTCTATTTTCCCCTGACATGGCCATATTCATATTGTAAAACTATC